ATATTTATTACTCCGATCATCAGAGGAGCTAAATGGACCCACTGTTTCTGACACCTGTTCAGATGGCTGAATTTAAAATTTCATGCAGGAAAAAAAAAAATCCTACGTACTTCAATGTTAGGAATTAAGGTTTTTTTAATACACTTTTTTCCCTCCCTCTTTCTGAACCGCTGTGTTGTGAGCGGCTGCCATGAGGCTTGGGCATTCCAGGGGTAGCTATGGAGAGCGGAATAGATTTTGTTTGCTCAGCTCTGACAAAACCCAATCCTGCTTGTGCACACACACACTGTAACCAAATGCTTCAGATCTCTGTTTTAAGTGCAGGTCTCGGTAGGAATAACATGATGTAGCACAGCCCAGAACGTGGCAGAGGTGAGCGGCCAAGAAAGAGCTCGTCTTTTTGGGAGGGAGCTGAGCACTGAATCACTTCATAATTTTAAGGTTCCTCTAATGAATTTTTTTGGGCACAGCAGGTACAAATCAATAGACTAAAATACTGTACACTCTGCTGCATCTAATTCTTGACTGCCTGAAATTGCGGGGGAGGACCGAGAATAACATTTGTCACTCTTGAGGGCTGAGTGCATTCAGATTTGTGAGCTCTAAGCCAACACGATGCAAAAATAGTCCAGGATGTGACTTAACTTTTCAAGTGAAAAGCAAAAGGCCAGGGATCTGCGAGGCTGTAGTTGGCAGACAGGCAGCTCCATCCCGAGCTATCTATCACCATATCGGGTTGACCCGGCACAGTGTGACAACATCTCAGTGCCCTCGATGCACGCTGCCTGTATTTCAGTGCTCTCTGAAATGATCATTTTCGTTCACTATTGCTGCGCCCACTTTTTCCCCTCCGAATTTTGGCTTTTAAAACTGTGTCACTTGCAACGCACAGTGAAGTGTGCAGGCCTGTAATCGTGGTGCCGTGAGTGACAAGGACAGAACTTGCCTTGCCTCTCTCCCTGCGTATTTTGAAGCCCTGTGGACTTCGTGACATGATTTTCTCTTTTTTAAAATTAATAAATGTCATTGTTCTGTAATGCATCTCAATACGACATCTTACATGGAAGGCTTCAAAGCGAGAGCAGAAGTTTGCTAGAAGTGATGTTTCCCGTCCATGCAGAAAAAAATCCCCAGCAAATAAATCGAGCAGTGTCCTCAAGTTTCCAGCGGGGGTAGAGGATGGAGTGTCCCTGGGTGCTGCTCTCAATTGTTAATTCATTAAGACCGACAGTCCTGAGCAATGTTGCCCCAGCTTGTCCTGATACAGCAGAGATGCTGACGGCTGTGGATGGAGGCGTTGAGCCTCAAAGCCCTGCTCCAGCGAAAGCTCTGGTGTCTCCCTGTCCCTCCGTCCTTGGGGTTTGCATTAAATCTGGGTGTCCCCGAAAGGCTGCAGGGACAGCGAGGTGTCGGCAGAGCTCAGTGCCCATACGCCTTTGCCTCCTACCGCCAGCCCGGCACCTGCCTCGGCCGGTGGAGCAGCAGCGCTGGGGAGAGTTCTGGCACGGATTTTCACATCCCTGTTTCCAGCAGCTCCTGAATGCCCTGGGACCGGGCTGTCTGTGCAGGGATGCGGCCTCTCCTCGTCCCTCTCGGCACCGGGGCCGCGCCCGGCGGGGTGGCCTGGGGGGCGGCCGGGCCCCCTCGGGGGCTGCCCTGAGCCCGGCCGGCCAGGCCGGCCCGTCCAGGGGCACAGCCGGGCACAGCCCCTGGCCCCGGCACAGCCCTGACAAGGGCACAGTCCTGTCCCCGGCACAGCTCCCGGCACAGCCCCACATCCCGGGCACAGCCACCGGCCCCTGGCACAACTCTGTGTCCGGCACAGCCCTTTGTCCCTGGCACAGCCCCCGCTCGAATACAGCCCCCGGCCCGGACACAGCCCTGTCGCCGCCACAAACTCTGCCCCCGGGCACAGTCCCTGTCCCTGTCCCTGCCCCTGTCCCTGTCCCTGTCCCTGTCCCTGTCCCTGTCCCCGGCCCAGCCCCGGGGGCTGCAGGGGCCGCCCGGCCCGGGCCCCAGCTCAGCCAGGTGCGGGGACAGGCCCCGCCGCCCGGGAGGGCGGGAAGGTGAGAACCGCATCCGCTGTTTGTTTGTTTCTTGTTTGTTTCTCTCTAAATCCCATCCCTGCAACAAAAGGGGAGTCTGGGCGGAACTATGGATCCGTCTGGCCGCGCACCCAGAGCGGAGCTCCGCTTGTCACCCGGCGGCTCCCGCGGGCCGCCCGGCCCTAGGTATGTCCACAGAGCACTTCCCTCGGCTTTGGTCACAGTATTTCCAATTTTTCTC